GATTTCGGAGACTTCAGTGAGGAGGTGTTGCACAGATCGGCTGTCGCCGCCGTAGTCCGGCTCTCCCCAAGTCACAACAGAGCCGTCGTGCCGCAGTGCGGCAAAGGCGAAAACGGTCGCCTGAATGCATTTTACATTCTCCAGCTCTGCCTGCACAGCATCGCTGTCGCCACCACTTGCTGCCGCACCCCATGTGAGTACCTCAGATCCGCAAAAGAAAGCAGGGATGCTTCACTTCATCCCTCAAAACCTAAATCCCCCAACCCCGGCGGTTGGTAGGCTGTTGCACCAGGTTTTGTTTTCTTCTAAGGTAGAAGAAACAAACGCCAAAGGTTGTAGGTACAGTGTTCAGGGTTGGTCAGATTTTGGTTTTACGGCGACGGATTTTTGGCTTCATTGCAGGGGACTCTTGAAGAATACTGGTATTTTGGCCACTTGGAGGTCAGGGCACTTAGTAACTACTTCTAACTATACTTATAAGCCCACTTATTAGCCCTTGAAGTGCCCTGATATGGTTATAAGTACAGTCATAAGTACAGTTATGACTAGTTACTAAGCACCATGAACCTCCAAGCAGGCGACCTGCCCGTCCGCCAGCAAGGCCGCGAAGGCGTGTGCAGCGTTGCGCACGTCCACAACTTTGCAAAGTCGCTGCTGGACGGCACTGCAGTCTCCACCGTAGCGATCTTCGCCCCAGGCGACCACAGCGCCGTCCATTCGGATGGCCGCAAATGCATAAGCAGCGGCATGGATGCTTCTGACCTGGTGCAACTGCTTCTGCACCAGCCTGCTGTCGCCGCCGTAGACAGGATCACCCCACGTCACCACTGCCCCGTCCGAGCGGAGAGCTGCAAATGCCCGCGAGGCCGCAGTGACACTTTGTACCCCGAAGAGACGGTCCTGAACCGTGCTGCTGTCACCTGACCGAGCAGCGAACCCTCAAGAAGAACTGCAACTAAGGTGGCGCTCATATATGTGTGTATATGTATGTGTGTATATAAGTATATATATATATATAAGCACTGCAGAGACTGCAGGATTCAAGACGCCCCCCCCCCCCCCCCCCCCCCCCCAAAGCACCTCCGCAGCTCGGGTCTCCCCAAGTGATGACGGTGCCGTCCGACTTGAGGGCCGCAAAGGCCTCCATCTCCCAGAGAAGGTCCATGGCCCACGCGTCGCCCGCGTGGTGGAGGCAGCCATACCTTCTCAAGTTACTCAAGTTGAGGCTTGAGGCTTGAGAGGGGTGTACTTGTGGCTTGTGGTCTGCATCCCAAAGCTAGCCCCGAAACCCCACGTAGGGAGTACGCCCTGCGCACCCAGAAAAAAGCTAGGGGGTAGCCTGCGGGACGAGGGTAAGCACACTAGGCCCTGAGCCCTGAAAGCCTCGCAACCCGTGACACCTCCCAAGCCGTGGGGAGAACCCAGACCCAGTGAGCCCCAAACCTAGTTCATGGTTGGGATAAGATTAGAAATTCAATTTTTTTTTCCTTATAGGGTTTAAGTACGCTTAAAAATGTAAAATGCTACTGTGCCCAACTTTGGCGCCAGCTGCGCTGGCGGACCCTAAGCCCTAAACCCGAAAGCCTCAGCTACGCAACGCGCTGGGTACCACCACTCCGTAGAGGTACTTGAAGCGAGTTGTGAAGGGCACTCAACCCGAAGCCCCCAAACAGTAAACCAAACCCTAAACCCTAAACCCTAAACCCCTAAACTCCTTAAACTCTTAACTCCCAAGCTCCTAAAACCCTAAAACCCCCTAAACCCCCTAAACCCCCTAAACCCTAAGCCCTAAGTCCTAAGTCCTAAACCCTAAACCCTAAACCCTAAACCCCCTTTTTAGCCCACCGGCTTCCCGAGGTGCGCCGAGATCACTTCTGTCTTCCGCACAGTGGCGCTCACGCGGCCGCCCGCGTCAAGCCCGGCCTCCTCTGAAGGGGATCCAAGCTTAGGGCTACATGGGCCCTTAGTATGGTCCTGTAGGGTTTAGGGTTTAGGGTTTAGGGTTTAGGGTTTAGGGTTTAGGGTTTAGGGTTTAGGGTTTAGGGTTTAGGGTTTAGGGTTTAGGGTTCCCTGAATGTGGCCCCTTACATTCTCTAAAGGGCTCTGATGTATGGGCCTTGGGTTGCATAGGGTATATCAGGGGCCCTAAATCCTCTATCCTAAGCCCGAGAATCCACGGGAGCACCCTAAACCCTAAACCCTAAACCCTAAACCCTAAACCCTAAACCCTAAACCCTAAACCCTGAACCCCAAAAATCCAAAAGATCTTCGGGACTCGGGGGTCTCAGGTGCCCTTTCCTCGAGCGTGAAGAAGCCCACGAGTTCCCGGCCGTCCTTTTGGGGAAGCTTGGGATGGAAGTTTTTTCGGGCTTTTAGGGCTTTTGGGGTTTTTTTGAGGGTGTTTGAGGTTGTTAGGGTTTTTAGGGGTTTAGGGCTTCTAGGGTTTTTAGGGTGGGCTTTTCGGGTTTTTAGGGTTCAGGGTTGGTAAGGTTTATAGTGGGGGTGTTAGTTGGGAGAGGGGGGGGGGATGGAGGCAGAGATATTTTGCAATATGACAAGATGAGGACGAAATTGATGCATGGTGAGAGAGAGAGAGAGAGAGAGTGTGGGTGTGTGTGTGTGTGTGTGTTACGTATGCACAATAAGTGCTCTCGATTCGCAGCTCACGCCACAAACAACATTTCAAGGATCCTCATCCGAAAGAACACGTCTTTGTCATAACATCAGTGTAGACTTTTGAGAGCAGCGCAGTATTTGGAGAGCTCACGCTGGAAATTGCCAAAGCCCAGGAATTTCAACTTTAGGGAGTCCCTTGGGAAATTCTGGGCCCTAAACCCTAAACCCTAAACCCTAACCCTTAACCCCTAAGCCCTAAACCCTAAACCCTAAACCCTAAGCCGGCGCCGGGCAACTGACAAGCGCAGGCTTAAGAACCCCCGAAGAATGAAAGACAATTATCCCGATGCTGCCCATAAGGAAGAATATCTTTCATTTCTTGTGGATGTTCTTAAGCAAACAGAAAGAAAACTACAAGTGAAAACATGCTCCATGGCTGTGGGGTACATGTTTTGGCTTTATCAGGAGAGTTGTCGCATACAGGGGGGGGGGGGGTTCCGAATGTTCGCGGTGCCGGTTTACATATATATATATATACATACGTACATACATATATACATATATACATATAAATAAATAAATAAATAAGTAAATAATATATATATATATATATATATATATGTATATTGGTGTTTCCACAGAGCCGCCAACAGCGCATTGAACTGGGCTAAGTGCAGTAGCTTACTTTGGGGGTTTAGGGTCTGGGGGGCTGAAAGGTCATCGGAGTTGTACGAAATTTTCTACAACCCAAAAAACAACCTCAAAACCTCTAAGCATAGAACAGCCCCCTTTCTGGGTTCTTGGGATTTTGGAGTTTACTGCGCTCAAGTCTACCTGAAGGGATCTAAGCCCTAAACCTTGCGATGTTCCCCTTTATACTAAGATTATCATAGAGGGGTATTCCAGTCCCTATTAAGGACTGTTCGTATAAGGGGGAGCATCCCAACCTAAACCCTACACTCTTTCCTGGGCATTTAGTGTCCTGCAGCAGCCGTTCGAGACCCAGCCCCAGATGCTTCTCGGCCCTCTTCCGCAGCTCATGAAGGGTGTCCTTGTCTTGTAGGGCTTATACTTTGGAGGTTCATGGTACTTAGTAACTAATTATAACTGTACTTATAACCTAAACCCGAAACCCTAAACCCTAAACCCTAAACCCTAAACCCTAACCCCTAACCCCTAACCCCTAAACCCGAAACCCTAAACCCTAAACCCTAAACCCCCCCAAAAGTGCCACATCAACAGGTCCCGGCGTCTCCCCGGTGAGCCGAAACGGAGGCGGTCCTTCCGCCTTGGTAGCCCAGCAACCAGATTATAATAAGGGCACCCTTTTTTGGGTTGGTTGCTTGATACTTAGCCCTAAACCCTAAACCCTAAACCCTAAACCCTGAACCCTAAACCCTAAACCCTAAACCCTAAACCCTAATCCCAAAAAAGAACGGGAAAAGGGTGCCACTGGGCTACCAAGCCGCTGAGGAGGGACACCTCGATGGTGACGGCCATGGCGGTGGCCCCACGGCGTCCAGGGTTTAGGGTTTAGGGTTTAGGGTTTAGGTTTAGTAGGGTTTAAGTGGGTGTTAGAGGGTTTATGAGGTTCATGGGGTTCATAGAGTCTATGGGGCTTGCTCAGGTTTTGTTTTAATGGTTTTAGGAGTATAGGGTTCAGAGGTTGAACCCTAAACCCTAACCCCTAACCCCTAAACCCTAAACCTTAAGCCCTAAACCCTGAACCCTGAACCCTAAACCCTGCACCGGCTTGAGAGTTTCCACAGTGGCTTCAGGCCTCAGGCGGTGGAGTCTGCGCTGGGCTTGTAGGCTTTGAGGGCTTGAGGGTTTGTCAGGTAGGGCTTTAGGGCTTCATTTGCGAGTTCTTTGGTCCCTTGGACGTAGAGCCCAAGCCCTAAACCCTAAGCCCCAAACCCTAAACCCCGAACCCTAAATACTCACAAGCTTTCATCCCGAAAATACACACCCCTAAAGCCTACAACCCCTTAGCCCCAAATAAAACACCCTGAGCCCTGAGCCCTACCCAAAAACCCAACTCCCCACCAAAACCCCGAACACCTGCAAGCCCACAAGGCCCGCCTTAAACCCACACCCCCAACCCGGAAGTCCCAAACCCTAAACCCCGAATCAGAAACCCCAAGCCCCTAAACCCTAAAACGGCAAAACCCCAAAACCCAAAAGCCCCAAACCCCGAACCGCAACACCCTAGTACCCAAAAAACTGCAAAACCCTGAATCCGTAAAGCAAAAAACGCCCCAAACCCCCCAAAACCCTAAACCCTAAACCCCAAACCCTAAACCCTAAACCCTAAACCCTAAACCCTAGAACCAAAAACACTAAGCCCTAAAGCCCTGAATTTCCCCGAGGTTTGGCAGGAGGGCCGAAGTCATCGGCCGACTGCAGAGCCAAGATGATCGCCTCGAGCAAGCCCGTGGCGCTTCTTGCTTTGAAAGGGTTTAGGGTTTAGGGTTTGGGGTTTGGGGTTTAGGGTGCTTCAAGCTGGCGACTTTGTTCGGTCCTTGCGGGGCTCACGAAAGGATACTCCAGTGCACCGAGAGTGCTTTCGGTTTTGGGGTTTAGAGCTCCTGAGCCCTGTACCCCAACTTAAGCTTGCAACTGCCGGGTTTGGGCGCGAACAAAGCTGGCGCCGGGATGTGCCTCAACACCCCGACATTAGAACAGCTCTATCTACACTTCTCAAGCGACTTTGAACAGGTCCCATCTCAACCCTACAACTCAGCAAACGCGGCCTAGGTTCAAACAGCGCTCTGCAAATCCCGCAAGACTACAACAACTCCAACGCGTACAGAACCCAAAGCCCAGGCAGGGAAGGGAGTCCTACGCCCCAGACCCCTGACTCTCTAAACCCTATACTTTCCCCACCTGGACGGCTAAGACCTCTTCTTTGCTAGGGCTCTTATTCCTACTTTGGAGTCGACCCTGGAAAAAAAGGTATGTATAACCAACCCCATAAACACCCCATAAATCCCAAACCCTAAACCCTAAACCCTAAACCCAGTATTGCGCCATGGTTTGGCCGCATGCCGCCCTATCTGGGCTGGTCATCTGCATGGCGCCCGAGGGACCAAAGAAAGGGACATCCCTCAGGCTCGCCCAGTTGGTGTTTAGGGTTTAGGGTTTAGGGCGTCTCGCCGCGCAGCGGCAGTAGATACGATGTGGAAATGGCGCCCCAACACACCCAGGGGGTGTGGAGGGGCGGCATGTCACGCGAAGGCATTTGTTTCAATGCAGTCCAACAAATTTCATTGGTGTTGGTTCCTTTCTCCCACCCGCTGTGAGCTTTCACAGGCCACCAAACCACTGCCTTTTAGGGTTGCGGGCTGTCGCCCTCAATTCCCACCATTGTGCCAATTCACAAGCCAGGGAGTGAAAGGGCAAACGGGCCAGGCCTGGATGGGAGGGGGGATAGGAAGGGCCGGGGGGAGAGGGGGCCAGGGGGAGGGGGGTAGGGCCAGGTGTCAGGGTCAGGAACGAGGGCTTTTGTGGCCCTGGAAGGAAACGTCCACCGAAGGATTCCGGCCAGGATCATGGGGGTTTTGCTTGTAAGTGTGCACCATTTTAGTGGTCCTAAGCAAGGCTCAGCCCAAGGGGCTGAATCCGACCACTCTCCAATGGCTCCACCCATTGTCATCCAGTGAAGGTGTATCTCGCTGCCGGGTATAATTCTGGGTCCAGGCACCCCAGTAAAGGGTGGGTACGGCCTAAGTAGGCCGGGTGGGAATTGAGGGCGCCACCAAGTGATGGTCTGGATGGCCGTCTGTGCTTTCTTCACAGCGGGTGGGTGATGTAGTGCTCCCAGCTTCAATGGGTTCTCAAAGGGTTTTTTTCACAACCTCGAACAAGGGCGCTAGGCGCAGGACTTGCTGCCGCCCACAGACCCCCTCATCCTAAGGTGGCGAGATCCATAGATTTCAGCCACGGCTGCCCCAAAACCCTAAACCCTAAAACTTAAAAAACCCTAAGCCCTAAACCCTAAGCCCCAAACCTCCCGATCCTCATCTTAGCCGAGCCTGCTCCCAAGCTCGTCCGCTGCGGCACACGGCCAGAATCGAAGCGACGCCTCGGCTCGGCCCCCCTAATTAGGGCTGAGGGCCTAGGGCTTAGGGTTTTGGGTTCAGGGTTTAGGGTTTGGGGTTTAGGGTTTTGGGTTTGAGGTTTAGGGTTTGGGGTCTAGGGCTTGGGGTTTAGGGTTGGGGGTCTAGTAGGCTTGGGGTTTAGGATTTAGGGTTTAGGGTTTAGGGAGCTCTGAGTCAAGCCTACCGGGCAACGCGCTGCTCGTGGTGGGCCTTCACTACAGTGGAGAACCCTTCAGAGGGGGAGATCGGGTAAAGAAATGAGCTTTGCCCTGAGTTCATCGAAGCGACTGCCAGACGTTGGCTGGAGCCCATGAGCCGGCATCGCCGCAAACAGGGCTAGCGCCTCCTTCGGTTTAGGGTTTAGGGTTTAGGGTTTAGGATTTAGGCATATTCTGGGCACTTTCCGACAACAGGGCTCGCTCTTACCCTCAATTATGAACCCACAATGGGGGGGCTCTTTTGCATACCCCAAACTCCTGGTAGCCCCAATTTTTCGAAAAGGCTCAAACGGAAAGTTCTCTCAGCCAGGGTCCCTTTTTTTGGAGTTCCCCTGCTCGAAAATGGAGCCGTAGCAAACACGTGGGGTAGTTGAAATGAGGGGTTTTGGGGCTTCGGTACACTTAGCTTGCTCACCTGACGACTCAGGGGCTGAATACCCCAGGCCCCCTCCCAAAAAAAGGTTAAACTTTTACATATGGTCGGATTCGATGTAACCAAAAAGGCTTAAGGTTGCCTATCCTGTCCCTAAATCAAAAAAAGACAGCAGCGGCTCCTTCAATTCCGTAAGCATCCTCGGCATGAAGCCGAAGAAATTCGATGGTGTCGCAAGCGCAAGCTGACATCGTTTTCGAAAATTTCTTAAGGATCCCCCAAAAAATAAAAAATGTTCCTCCATATAAGGAAATATTGGGAGCATCACTTCAGTTCGCGATGCATCTAAAATGCACACTACTGCAACATCTGCTCCCCTGCTCTGAACCACTATTGGGACATGTTTTTTGAGGGGGAGGGGCGGGGGGGGGGGGAGGGTTTCTTTAAGCAAATCGTAGTTTTGCGAAGGGTTTCAGGAGCATCGTCCTGGCAGGCCCGAGCCCATGTGGGCTCAGCGTCTTGGATGGCCAGATTCAGCTGATGAGGCGGGGGTTAGAGTTTAGGGTTTAGGGTTTAGGGTTTAGGGTTTAGGGTTTAGGGTTTAGGGTTTAGGGTGCATTGACTTTTGTATCTTCTGGGAGAGGTCAGGGCCGCCGTGCACGGTGTGGCTTCGAAAAATCGAAAAATCGACAGGTCTTCCTCTTCTTCTTCCTCCTCTTCTTCTTTATATTCCTTTTATTCTTCTTCTTCTTCTTCTTCTTCTTCTTCTTTGGCTGCGGTGCGTCTTGGTCTACGCCACCTGGTGGCAAGAGGTTTGCCCTACCATAACACAAACCTCTCAGAATGAGAGAACTGTCCCTGCTCCACCCACGGGCTCCCTATACTTAGAGCTCTCTACACAAAAGAAGGAGCAGAACCAGAGACATGCCAAGATGTAAGAGGATCAAAGGGGCTTCCAGGGGTTTGAGGGCTCTGGATGGGAAAAGATTCTTGTAGCGGCTCTTCAGGTTTTAGGGGACTTGGCATTTTAGGCGTGTGTGTGTGTGTGTGTGTGTGTGTGTGTGTGTGTGTGTGTGTGTGTGTGTGTGTGTGTGTGTGTGTGTGTGTGTGTGTGTGTGCGTGCGTGCGTGCGTGTGCGTGCGTGCTTTGGAATCACAACTTCCCATCTATGCTTGCCAGGCCTCTAGGCTTGAAATGAAATACATCTTGAAGTGGGGGCGGGGGCGGAACCTTCAACACTGGCCAGCACTTTTCGCGGTCTCCTGCCAGCGACCCTGTGATCGGCAGCAGTCGATAGCCTCAGGGCGGCGCCAGACCCTGAATCCAAGACCCTAAACCACCCTAAACCTTAAACCACCCTAAACCCCAAACCCGTAAACCCTCAACCCTGTGCCCTTAAGCTTCACCCCTAAGGCCCTTACTCCCTAAACATGCCATCGCAGCTCGGGCTTTCAGCCGTTCTTTAAGGTGTTCCCGTCCCTCCCAGCCGGAGGTGGCTTTAAGGGCTTAGGGCTTTATGGTTTTAAGGGCTTAAGACCTCTGGAAAATCTGTGGTTTAGGGGTTCATGTTTTGGGTTATAGGGTTTGGGGTTCTAGGGCTTTTAGGGTTTTAGGGCTTTAGGGTTTCAGGGTTTAGGGCTTAAGGCTTTAGGGTTTTCGGGTTTAGGGCTAAGGGTTTGGGGGTCCATATTTGGAGCCCTAGCAGGGGTTTAAGACGGGGTAGGGGCTCAGAACAGAAAAAAAGGGGTACTCGACCCGGGAGTAACCTAGGAATAAAAAGGGTGCCCTTTTTGGTTTTAAGGGGATTATAAGGGAACCCCAACCCTAAAAGAAGGAAAAAAGGGCCTACTCCCGGTCCTAGGGTTAAGGAGTCTGAGGGGGTTTCATAAGCAAACCTGGTCCCTAGACCCTGAACCCTAAATCAAGGCCGAACTCGGTCCTAGGGCAGCAGACGGTTACCCTAAACCCTAAACCCTAAACCCTACTAAGCCCTAAACAAATGGTTACCGACTCAGCAGCAGCACCCAAGAGCTTCTGGATGGGCTCGCCCCCCCCCCCCCCCCCCCCCCCCCCCCCCCCTTTCCGGGACTCTTGAAGAAGGCCTCGAAATCCTGAACCCTAAGCCCTAAACCCTGAACCCTAACCTTTAAGCCCTCTGAACTTTATTAAGCCGCAAAAACCCCGACACCCCAAGGGGTTTCAAGGGTTTTGGATGTGATTGCGTAGGGTTGCAAGGTCTACGCTACTAAGCTAAAAACCGCCAGAAGGTCCAAGCCACTGAGTTGTATGCAAGAACATCCTTGAACCTCGGGCTTGCCAGTGATGGACACAAAGACTGCTTCTTTTGCTACTGATCCGTTTTGCCAAACATGACCGCTGCAGTTGCCCTTGTTCATTGGCTTTGAGCTGTGGCTTGAACTTTAGACTTTCGATCTTTCTTCGAGCATTATACCCTATACGGCCAGGTTGAGGGTTGGAATTCTTGTTTTTCAACAACTTGCTTGCCCTCAGGTTGCAACTAGTTCAACTCCAATGCAGGTTGGAGGTGGTTTCCACTCAGCTCGAAGATGGAAGTTAGAGTTAACTCGAACTGTTGAACCTGCTGGAACCTGAGTTCCAGTTTAGGTTAACTCGAACTCAAACCTGAAATAGAGCTGGAGTTGGGTTTAACCCCAGCCCTACTCTTAGCAAGCGGGTCTACAGTCCGCCTTTCTCGAATCTTGTTTGGTTTCTTGTCTTTCTTCATTTGAAAAGCAGAGGAGTGGATAACTATTCTAAATTTCACCCCTTCGAATCTTGTTTTGATTCTTGTTTTTTCATTCTTCGAAAACTAGAGATCTTGTTGTGCTTTCTCCTCTTTCAACCTTTCGAAAATCCAGGGGAGTGGAGAATTCCAACTCGAATCTGGTTTTGGCTTCTTGTCTTTCATTTTTCGACAACGGCCCCCTCGAGTCTTTCGTTTCTTTCATTATTCGAAAAGCAGAGAAGTGGAGAATTATTCTAATTCCACCCTTTCTCAATCTTGTCTCTCAATGCTCGAAAACCAGAATTGTTCGAAATTCCAGCCCCTCGAGACTTGTTGTGGTGTCTTGTCTTTCATTTTCGAGAACCAGAAGAGCGAATTTTTCTAAATCCATTCCCTCCATTTCGTTTTTCAAAAACCAGAGGAGGGGAGAAACTCAGTTCCCACTAAACCCCCACCCTAAACCCGAAGTCCCTAAAAGGCCCCTAAAGCCTCAAAGCTCTTAAAGAGCACGTAAAGCTCTTACAGTGCAAGGCAAAGCACACTCCGCGAGAACCTGACCTGTGGGCTTCGGGTTGGGGGTAGAACGTTTTGGCATCACCAGCTCTCAAAAATAGGGGCTTCTGCGTTTAGGGGTCTAGAGTTTCAGGTTTAGGCGCTGTCCAAACCACACTCGAAACCATGCCCCAAAACAAACTCTTTAAACCCTAAACCCTAAACCCTAAACCCTAAACCCTAAACCCTAAACCCTAAGCTCCGAAACTGCGAGCGCGATGCCGTGCAGGCATCTCGCCGAAGACGGCGAGGCCCGTAGCCCACTCCGACGCGCGCCTAAAGGGCCGGGTGGTGGCTCGGTTTAGGGTTTAAGGCTTAGGGTTCAGGGTTTAGGGCTTGGGCGATTTAGGGCTTCGGGCCTCCCGAAAGCCTGGATCCTGTACCCTATATTCAAAAGCAAAAAAGACCTAAACATTACGGGCCCAGTCAGCCCTGTAAACTGCTGGGCTTTAATGAAGCCTTTCAGCCTTACAATCCGTACAAGCCTTGTAAGCCTACAAAACCCTAAATGACCAAGAGCACCCCAAGATAAAATCACAAGCCTGAAGCCCTTAACCCTAAACCCTAAACCCTAAACCCTAAACCCTAAAGTCGACTCAAGCAACTCCGAAACCCTGAGCCCTAAACCCGAGCAGCCGCGGTGCCCGCACGCGTTCATCACGGCACTGTAGCCTGAACTGCCGGAAGGTGCATCACAGGGTCTATACTTGGAGGTTCATGGTACTTACTAACTAATTACAACTGGGCTTATAACCCTACTTATAAGTGGGATAACCCCTATAAGGCCCTTTAGGGGTATTATAAGTAGGGTTATAAGTGCAGTTATAGTTGGTTAGTAAGTACCATGAACCTCCAAGTAGAAGTGTTTACAGGGCTTATTATGGCCTTTTATCTGAGGCTCATTACAATCTATAGGGTATGGAGGGCTTACTGTCATGGGGTTTTTACGACTCGTTACAGGGTCGATGAGGTATTCTAGTGTTTATGATCGTGCAAGGAAACAGAACCAAAACGTCCAACAAGACCTTGCGGCTGTTGCAGGTTTCGTCCCAGTTTTTTTGGTGAACCCGAAGCCCTAACCCGTAAAACCCTAACCCCGAATCCCTCGCCGAAACTTGACTATCAGGATGGGTTCGCATACCTGGTGTTTATATGGTTGACCATGGGGAATAAAAGGGGCCCAATACCCCATCCTGGCATGTCAATCATGAGATGCCCTAAACCCTAAACCCTAAACCCTAAACCCTAGACCCTAAACCCTAAACCCTAAACCCGAAACCCCTAAACCCGATGGCCTACAAGGCAGATCACCATGCGGCTGAAACGCCTGCTGCGGTGGACCGTAGCATCCTCAGCTGTGAAGGCGAGGGAACTTAGACTTTAGGGTTAGAAACCCCTAAAGGAAGGACCCCCAAAGATAACCCTACTTGAGAGAGCTACCCATACGGCGCGGAATTCCTCCGATGCTCACGAAGGATGGAGACGAATTCTATTTTTCTGTTGGGGACTTTCCTAAACCCTGAACCCCAATTCCACACTAAACCCCGCAACCTCAACGCCTGCAGGTTTTCTAGGTGGGTCCTGAACACCCTCGAAAATTTCATTTCTTGACCTAAACAATATCTCAAGGGCCTACCTGGTTGATGCTGTACCCAGTTGCTGAGTACCCCGGGCCAAAAAGGTTAGCCTTTTAACTGTGGTAGGATTATATATACCCCGAAAGATTGAAGGTCACCGACTCAGCTACTAAGATTTCACAAGGTGTCGTACTATGGGGGACCCAAGAAACCCTAATTTGGAGAACTACCCATATGGGGTTTAGGACATTACATACCCCAAAAGGTTAACGGCTGCCTACGCATCTACTAACTGTAGGACCCTAAACCCCAAACCCAAACCCCAAACCCTAAACCCTAAACACCAAGCCCTAAACCCTACACCCTAAAGAGGTTCCCGCCCAGCGCCGCTCTGTTTGTGGAGTCCTCCACACAAAGAAGGTACAAATCTATAGGATGTTCCCCTGATACTAGCAGTCCTGAATAGGGATTCTAGTAGGGGGTACGAAAATCCCTTCTGAGGACTGGTCGTATAAGGTGATACATCCCGACTAAGGACTGGTAGTATAAGGTGGAACATCCCAAGGTATATGGTGAGTCCTTTTTTAACACAGTGGCAAACAGTTGGATTCGGACACCTTTCAGTTGAGTTGTTGAAAGGGTTTAGGGTTGGGGGTTTAATCTGCTAAACGCGTGGTGGCCAAGCACACTTTGACGGGCATGCAGTCAACCCGCAACCCCAAACCCCCCCAGAAAAACCACTACTACCTAAACCCTGCACCCTCAACCCTCAACCCCAAGCCCTACAAGGGCGCCATAATGCTTCTGCCTTCTAAACCGTAACCCCTAAACCCCAAACCCTAAACCCTACAACCTCAAACCCTAAAACCCTCAGTTCTAAGGCACCCAATCTTGGCTAGCTGCCTTAATAAGAAACCCAAGAATCCCCAAAAAAGGCTAAGGATCTAAAGTTACAGTAAAGCACCACAAAGCAATGTCACGACCAGGGTTCGACTCCCCGAAGGATGCCATGAGGCGAAGGGCCAGCTGCCACTTCGCAGCCTCCCAAAAGGCTCGTGCTCCGGGCGCTCCGAAGGGTTTAGGGTTTAGGGTTTAGGGCCAGAGTCCCTTGTCAACCCCCTATACCTCGAAACCCCTTCATGTATAGTTCTCATATGATGCGGGGCTATAAGCGTACTAGCATTCTGAGCCCCGTACTGATATAGTTATTATGTTCATGCTGGGTTACGAACCCCAACCCCTAAACCCTAAACCCCTCTAAAACCTGAACTCCCTAAAACCCTAAACCCCAAAACCCCCATTTACAGAAAAACCCTAAACCCTAAAAGCCCTAATGTACGGTGTAGGGCCCTACAAAGCCCCTGAAAAGCCCCCCAACCCCCAAAGCCCTAAGCCCTAAGTCCTAAGCCCTAAGCCCTAAACCCTAAACCCTACCAACCCTCAACTCCATCATCCCAGGGTTAGGGGTTAGGAAACCCTAAACCCTAAACCCTAAACCCCAGGCTTTAGGGTTTAGGGCCTTTAAAGGGCCTTGGACATCGCCGACAGCACGGCGGCGGCAGCAGCACTGTCGGCACGCACCTCATCGCTAGCCAAGGGCTTGGTAGTGGTTAGGGTTCGGTTCAGGGTTTAGGGTTTAGGGTTTAGGGCTCAGTTCAGGGTTCAGGGTTCAGGGTTTAGAGTTCAGGGTTCAGGGTTTAGAGTTCATCAGGGTTCGGGGTTCAGGGTTCAGGGTTTAGGGTTCAGGGTTCAGGGTTTAGAGTTCAGGATGTAGGGCTTAGGGTTCAGGGTTCAGGGTTTAGAGTTCAGGGTCTGGGGCTAAGGGTTCAGGGTTCAGGGATCAGGGTTTAGGGGGCACCCCGCAAGAAAGCCTAAACCCGTGTAGGGCGAAACTTCATGATTAGGGTTTGGGGTTCCGGGTATATCAGGTTTTGGTCACCTATCCGTCTGGTCCCGGAACCCAGATGCCACTATCAAATCCGAACACCGACTGTACGTGCCCAGCCTAACAGTACGTACCCCCTTCTCTCCTGCTTGCATGTCTTGTTACGGGTCCCGGAACCCTAAACCCTAAACCCTAAACCCTAAACCCTAAACCCTAAAGCCTAAAGCCTAAACCCTAAACCCTAAACCGCGGGGTGCAGGAAACTCACCTGAGCCCTGGAGAGGGCGAGGGGCGCTGGCGGCACCCATGTCTGCAAAGAGCGCCTCAGGGAGTTGGGGTTTAGGGTTTAGGGTTTAGTGTTTAGGGTTTTGGGGTTTAGGGTTTAGGGTTTTCGGGTCTGGGCTAGGGTTTTTTGACAACCCCGATGACCTCTTTTAGATGGTTCAGGGTTTAGGGTTTACGGTTTCAGGTTCAGGGTTTAGGGTTCAGGGTTTAGGGTTGAGAAAGAATGAACCCTCAACCCTAAACGTGTCAGAAGAGGAGTGGGAATAGGCGATGAGTTTTTCAATGGGCCCGGCAAAAGTACCAATGCATATATACATATATATATATATGTGCATATATATATATATATATATATATATTCCCCCCAGATGTGAAAGTGCCCATTGCCCAAACATGTTCTGGTCATGCCAAGTACGTGCCGTTTTTCGGTGCTTTTGTCCCAACAAACTTTGCGCATGACGCATGTCCACAACCAACGAAGGACAATCTGGCCCCTACCTGCGGCCGCTTGAAGCAACATATGCCGCATCACCATATCCCGACACCACACAGCGCCGAACAGCGCCGAACATGGAAACGGTACTCGTGCAAACTCGCCCCCCCCCCCCCCCCCCCAGCAAAGTATCTCCTTGACCACCCCAATCCGCCCTTCCCTGTGCACTCAAACAAATTCATCGAAGGCACCAGAGCCGCGCCCCACTCAGATGCTGTACCACAGGCCTTGCTCGTCAGTTTTTTTCCCCAATAGCTTTGCGTCGAGACGGCAAATCATCAAATCTTCAGGGGAACTGCTGCTGGCTGAGGTTTCTATGGGGCTTAACCGATAAGCTTCAAAGGGTGCATTTGGTACGGGCTACACGGGCTGATCTGCTAACGTGATCTGTTGTTGTCGTAAGCTTCAGGTCCCTGAACTCTCACCACTGAGCCTGCAACCCGAAATTTGTTCACATCCTGACGTCCTAGGTCTGAAACCTTGAAACCCTAAACGTGAAACCTTGAATCCACGGCCCCAAGGTTTAAACCTTCACTTTCGAGCAGCCCCCATCGCTGCGCTAAAGGAGATGACGTCTGGGTCGAGGTCCTGCTCTGCTTAGGGTAGACATACTTTTGGCTGTGGCCAGGAGATTTGGGTGTACCGTTCGGAAACTGAACATCAGAACTTCTTTGGGTGGGGTGTTACGAATTCTTAACACCCCGAAACCTCAAACCCCTAAACCCCAGAGACAGGGAGGTCCAGGAGTCCCGTCCAGGGAGTCCCGTCCCAGAGTCGCACGCTTGCTCTCCCTCACAGTCTTCACTGAGTGCTGCATGAGCGACTGCATGAGCGAGAAGAGCTATCACTCACTAGGCATTGCGTTCGGGAGAAACAGCACGGTCTCGCATGGCAAGTGCCTCTGCGCAAAGGTTGCGCAGACCCTCCACCCATGAATATCTCTCACGTTCAGCGTCCTACTTGGGGCAGCGTACAACTATTTATATCCCCCTACTCATCAGAAATGCCCGCCGCTAGTTGTGAGGGCGGCGAAAACCTGACTGAGCCGCTGCTTCTGAGGGCAAAGCGGGAACGAGCCTACAAGCAAAGAGTGCTTCGGGTCATGCTGAGTTCCTACCTGGCAGGTGCAGAGTGGCGCCCCCCTAGTCCCTCAAGCGTAAACCCCAACGCGCAGGCCGTTCATCCCGTCCTCTGCCGCCATCTGTCCCAAGAGGCCAATCGCCATCTGCGAAACACGCCACAAAGCGAGGCTCTCAAACTATAGACTTCTCAAGGGAGGGGGGGTTCAAGGGCGGTATGTAATATCCAAGGTTCCCTAGTAATCAAAGATAACCCACAGAGTAGGGCTTGGGGTTCAGGGATTCAGGGATGTAGGGTTTGGGATTTAGGGTTTAGGGTTTAGGGTTTAGGGTTTAGGGTTTAGGGTTTAGGGCACCCGAAGAGAGCTACCCTTATGGGCATAGGAGCCCGTGGGTCAGGGTCAAGGGTTTAGGGATGTAAGGTTTGCTCCAGGGGCTTTTATGCTGCTTACGACTTGGGGTTTGGGGATGTGGCATTTCTTGTAGGGGTTTAGGGTTTAGGGTTTAGGTTTTAGGGTCTAAGGCTTTGAAGAGGGCTGTATAGGGCAGTTTCGGGGTTTGGAGTTTAGGGTTTAGGCTGTCACGTTTATTATTGGTACCATACTGGACGGAGGCACCTAAGCCACCCAGCTGAAATCACACCAAGCAAAATTCCTTTCTCCCCCCCTCCCCCACCAAAAGAACAAACAAACCCCCAAGAGCAGCTCTCAAACCTTGTGAACCCCTCTGAGTCCAAAAAAGCACCAGTGCTGAACCAGTGGAACGCTAACCCTAAACCCTAAACCCTAAACCCTGAACCCTAAACCCTAAACTCCTAAACCCCAGAAACGCGGGCTGCGGTAGTGGTGCAGACCCAGACCCCTGGGAGGATCCAAAAGGTAGATCCCTGTCTGGGGAAAGGCGGCAGTAATTGCAGGAGCACAGGGTGTCCCGCCCTGATGTTCAGCTCTCTCAATTTTGGTCCCTTTTGGGATGAGTATTCTAAGGTGGTTTTTAATATTTCGGGTACGCAATCAGGGACCCTTTTCATGGCCCACCTCCCGCCTTAAACCCTGAACCCTAAACCCCCCTGGCCACCTCCCACTCGGCCGAGCCCTCACAGACGGCCATGACAGAGCTGTAGGAGATCTGGTTGGGGGCCTCAGTTCAGCGGCTTGCTGGGTTTAGGGTTTAGGGTCTAGGGTTTAGGGTTTTCTCGTCTGCTGCCATTGTCCTACCCTAGCAGGGTTTCAGAAGCGTTTGAGGTTCAGGCCATGCTGTTTCTTCAAAAACCCTAACTTTCCTGCGCGTGACACCCCCCAGTGATTCAACAAGGTCTAGTGTTTAGTTTTCTCTGCCAAAGATACTCCTAGGCCAAGACCCAGAACTGCGCGATAATGCCCAAATCGGGATTTGCCATGACAAGCGCGGCGGCTTCTCGGGGAGAAACGGAGATTAGGAATCTCGGGGTTACATGGTGCCTTGATGCGGGCCCTTTTGGGGAACCATACTCTATTTTTGAACCCCCAGCAGAAGATAAGGGACTTTTTGAAGAGACCCACGTAACTTCCCTTAGACGGAAACCATAAAGTAGTGCCCTAAGCCCTGAGCCCTGACTCTTCAAAGGCGGCTGAATTGCTGACAGAAGGCCACTTCTTCTTCCTGAGCTTCAGACAGGCGTGTCCAGCAGCCCTAGACCCTAAACCCCCCTAAACCCAAATCGCCTTCACAACAGGATTTGACCCGAGAGTACGCCCGGAAAGAAGGGAGAGGTACCCCACCTACCCGATCTTTTGCACCTCCCTAGCCCTAAACCCTAAACCCTAAATGGTTAGTCTATAGACTCCAGGGAACCCGCTTTGGTAGGGTGCAACTTCCCGAAAACCTTTGCCTTCAAACCCTAGAAACCCTAACACAAGCTTGGAGGGTCGACATGGCGAGTAAGCACGCCCCAGAAGCCTAGACCCTAAACCCTAAACCCTAAACCCTAAACCCTAAACCCTAAACCCTAAACCCTAAACCCTACTGAATCCGAAGCCGTTGGACATAGACTCTCGGGCCCCAAACCTAAACCTGGAACCCTAAAACCCCAAACTCAAAACCTGAAACCTGCGTAAACCCTAGACCCTAAACCCTGAATCCTACACCCTTAACCCTAAAGCGTAAACCCTGAACCCTACACCCGGAACTCTCGTGGGTTTAAGGTTTAGGGTTCGGGGGCTAAGGGGCTAGACCGCTTCCAGCGACCGAGTGTCCTTGCTGGCCGCTGCATGTTTTTTGGGGCGGGGCGGAGGAGGATGGGTAGGTTTCAGGCAAGTTGGGGGTTCGGGTTTGAAACCCTCAGCCCTAGACCCCAAACCCGAAATCCTAAATCCTAAACCCTGAACCCCAAACCGCAAACCCTAAACCCTAAACCCTGAACCCCAAACCCCAAACCCTAAACCCCAAACCGCAAACCCTAAACCCTAAACCTTAAATCCTAAACCCGAAACCCCAAACCCTAAACCCTAACCCCCAAACCCTAAACCCCAAACCCCAAGCCCTAAACATCTGCAGACAAGACTCCTTCATGCTCCTAAGGAGAGCCACCGCCTGAACCCACTCGCCTGCCTGAGACAGCAGGTTGGTCAAGCTTTGGATTTGGGGTTTAGGGTTTAGGGTTTGGGGGTTAGGGCTAGGGTTTAGGGTTTAGGGTTCAGGGTAGGGCTTAGGATTTAGGGTTTAGGGCTTAGGATTTAGTAAATATTAGTAATATTTGTTTGATACAGTAAAATGTCTTTATACTATGCTATTGAAAGTAAAAAATATCTGTTGTGATGCTTTCAGACTCCCATTTTGTATTATTTACGGATGCTTCAAATTGGGGTTTTGGTGCATTGGGTTTAGGGCTTGGGTTTTAGGGTTTCGGGTTTAGGCGGCAGGTTTTCGTCCCCCAATGGAATACACCCCTTGTCATAAGCAGCCCAAACGAGTCACAAGGAGCGCAAAAGAGAGCTACCGACTGAGGTGTCGGGGCTAGGGGTTTAGCATGTCTTGATGCCCTAAGCCCTAAACCCCAAACCCCGAATTATTCAAGGTGGCTACTTCGGCCTCTGCAAAAGAAACAAAGAGACCCAGCAGCCCTACCAGGGAGAGCAGGCAGGCTAGGGCCTTAGGGCCTTAGGGCCTTAGGGTTTAGGGTTTATCAAGCATGTTAAGCTTCATTTTAGAAATGTCCCCAAACCCTCAGTCCCCAACAGTGGAGTTTTGGGGTTTAGGGGAAGCCGATGGCAACCTGAGTTCTGAATTAGATCGTGGAGTAGAGTCTCCAGGCACCCGGGAAGTCATCTGAGCATAAGACCCGAAAGCACCAGAACCCTTGAAACACTAGAACCCCAGAGCACTAGAGCCCTAAACCCTAAACCCTAAACCCTAGCCCTATACCCAAAACCGCCCTAGAACCCCAGAACCCACGACTCCACGACAGTCCAGGGTTCCACCCGGCAGGCCGCGATGGCAGACCCATAGCCTGAGTGAAGGTTTTAGGCTAAAAGGGGGTTTAGGGTTTAGGGTTTAGGGTTAAGGGTTTAGGGTTTAGGGTTTAGGGTTTAGGGTTTAGGTTGTTCAGGGTCATAGGGGGGTTTTAAGGGGGGTATAGGGCTTGAGGGTTAAAGGGGTTAAAGGGGTTCTAGGGTTAAACGGGGGTTATTCAGGGTCATAGGGAGGTTTGAAAAGGGTTATAGGTTGTTTTTTTGCGGTTCTAGAGGTTATAGGGGGTTATAGGATTATAGAGGGGTAATAGGGGGTTACAGACTTTCTAATTTCCAATTGTAAGGGGGATGGTTTTCGGGGCTTATAGGGGTTCTAGGGGGGTTATGGGGGTCTCATGACCATGGTGGCTGCTGTTCTGGAGATTGCTGGGACCTAATGACACGCTGGGAAGCGTGGGACGATGAGAAAGGAAGGGTCATTGACCGTTGTGTCCTCTTGCGGACATGATGTTCCGTTGCTGTAAGTGGCGATTGGATCTGACACCAACCCGCCCCAAAGCCCGAAATGTAAACCCTACATTTGTCCGGACCTCTTGATGACTAAATGGGGGTCTTCCCCCTTAAACTAACAGTCCTTAATAGGGATTCTAAACGGGGGTACTATATTCCCTATGAAGGATACCCTAAACCCTAAACCCTCAACCCTAAACCCTAAACCCTCAACCTCCCAATTTATCGGGTTTAGTGTTCCGGGTACTGGGGCCCCCGATCTCCCAGATTCGGAGCAGTGAAGCTGATCCTCCGGGTGGAAGGCATTCCTAGATGGCCAAACCCCAAACCCCAAACCCCAAACCCCAAACCCTAAACCCTAAACCCTAAACCCTAAACCCTTGTCGATATCTCTCCTTGGTAGCCCAGCAGCCATCATATGGAACAAGGCCAAAGTCAACAAACAGCCGTGGCAACGTATGAAGTAACACGAGCTCACATGCATGTGTGGCTTGGAGTTTAGGGGTTTCGGGTTTCTAGCTCATGGTTGGGATAGCATGAGAAATTGAAACTTCTATACCTTATTGAGTTTAAGAACCCTTAAGAATGTAAAATAATACCCCACTGCAACAGTTTAGTAGTACCTACCCCCCCCCCCCCCCCCCCCCCCCCCCAATTCGTAGGTTGGACCCAAAAAAGTGTAGGTAAAGAGGGTGCCAGGTAGGGGTTGACTTGGAGGTTCATGGTACTTATTCACCAAGTCTAACCGTACGTATCACCCACTTAGAAGCCCCTTAAGTGCCCTAATTAGGGGTCATAAGTTCAGTTATAAGTGCAGTTCTATTTGGTTCAGAAGTACCGCGAACCTCCAAGTAGGGTTGTTGACTGCCCTAAACCCTAAACCCTAAACCCTAAACCCTAAACCCTAAACCCTAAACCCTAAACCCTAAACCCTAAACTGCAGGCAGAGGGGCTGATTTCATTGCGCTGCAGGCTCCGCCGCTTCATCTCGGCGAGAAGCAGAAGGACCTGGCCACAACGCCCCAGCAGAGCAAAGGGAAGCCTTGGGTTCAGTGAGAGAGAGAGAGAGAGAGAGATAGATATACATATATATATATGTATATGTATATAGGGTATATTAAGGCGTACATGAAGGTGCCGAAATCTAAGAGGATAGCAAAATACCTGCTCCTGAAGTCTTAGGCCTCTGGCGCCACCTCAATCCTCTCCAAACCTTTGACACTTCCTTTCCCATTTTGGGGAATGCGTCCAAAAAAGTCTATGGCCGGAACAGGACCCTCCCCCCCCCCCCGCCTGCCCCCGCCCCCCGCCTACCCCCCCCCCCGCCGCCCCCCGCTTGGAACATCAGTATCATCAGTATTCTCATACCTCAAGAGGGTTTCTAAAGAAAAATCCCGGCTCTAACTTCACCGAGGGGTGCCCGATGCCACCAGGATCCTCTCGAGCCTTCTCGAGAACTTCACGGACTCGCCTTCAGAACCCGAAGCCCTAACTAAACTCTACGAGCCCTCTCAACTCTCAACCCCTACAAACCCTGCAAACCCTATAAACCCTATAAACCCTATAAACCCCATAAACCCTACAAACCCTATAAACCCTACAAACCCTGTAAACCCAAAAGATCCCTACAAGCCCGAGCCCTACAACACCCTGCAAGGAGCTGCCAGGAGCGCCTCATGGAGGCGCTGCGCCTTGCGGCATGCGGAGGATGCCTGCAAATGCGAGCCGTTTCGGGGATCATGTGAGGGTTTAGGGTTTAGGGTTTAGGGTTATCATGTGAGGGTATGGGAGTTACCCGGACCGAACAAGGAAGAGTTAAAGAATTCCCGACTTCCTGCTTATTAACCGTAGGTATCTCCATCTGCACATTCATTGATACTTGCACACATTACATTACATTACATTACATTACATTACATTGCATTGCATTGCATTGCATTGCATTGCATTGCATTGCATTGCATTGCATTGCATTGCATTGCATTACATTACATTACATTACATTACATTACACACACATACACACATACACACATACACACATACACACATACACACATGCACACATGCACACATGCACACATGCACACATGCACACATGCACACATGCACACATGCACACATGCACACATGCACACATGCACACGTACACACATACACATACACACATACACACATGCACACATACATTCATACATACATACATGCATGTGGTCTATGTTGGGGTCGAAGAAGCATCCGAGCAAGAGACGCTCGACCCTCGATCCTGCAGGGGGCCTGCAGAATTCCTTGATGGCATTTAGAAGGCCTGAAGAGCGGGCTAGGGTTAGGGTTTAGGGGGTGTTCCATGCATCGCGTGGTTCTGGTATGGCACAGACTAGGGACGGCTCGGGGCCAACGGCTCGAAACCCTAAGCCCGAAACTCGAAACCCCTCTACCCCCCGGAAGTGAAGTCAGTTTCACTCAGTTTCACTTTCTGAGAACTGATCAGGTCACCCTAAACCCTACACCCGAAAGCCTAAACCGTTTAAGGAAAAGGCTACCTGCGGGTTCCCCGAAACTCCCCCATCAATTCGCCCAAACAAACTATTTTGGTGCAGTTACATGGTCCCCTGGTATGGGCCCTTAGAGGGGGACCCTTAGAAACCCGATAAAACCCAAGGGAACCCTTTAAGGGAGGTAAGGGGCCATGTTCAGGGCCCATGAAAGTATCCTTAGAAGCTAAGGGTTTGGGGTTGAGTGGGTAGACCTGACTGGTTGATAGGGACTTGGGGAACTCGGGTGCCTTTATAAAATTTTGGGTTTAGGGTTTAGGGTTCTTGAAAGGTAGGGTTTAGGATTTAAGGTTTAGGGCTCAGGGTTTCGCGAGAATTCACCCCCGAGTCCAAGTGCGCCAAGTTGCGATGCTGTAGCTAAACTCCTTGGACACCGAAGATGACGGAGCTTGTGACTTTTGTTGTTGGTGGTTTGGGTTTTGTCCAGCCCCCTCGCCACTTTCCCTCTCTAAGCAATCCCGTACACCCCCTAGCAACGAGGAAACCCTTGCCCAAATCCCGAAGACTGTGCTGGGCTTGTAGGTTGACGCCTTATGGTTGGGGCTTGGCAGTGTTGGGTGTCTTGTTGAAGCCGGGCTTGAGGGCTTACGGGTGAGTTGGGGGCACTACCAAAATTGGAATTCTAGGGCCTAGGGTCTAGTAAAGTCACAGCGTTAAAGGCCCATCGAACTCAACCACAGCTTAGACCCTCATCCCGAAACCTAAGCCCGAAACGCATCGTCTTTTTGCGTAACTCTTTAGGCGGCTCCCAGATTCTGTCGGGCGCGACATGTCAGGCATGAGGATCCCTTCGTGGGCACCATACCCCCTCCACAGGACATTTTCGTTGGGGTTTAGGGTGCAGGGGGCTTAGAGCCAAGCCTCTTAGAAGACCTCTACTACGGGAAAGCGCGCCCGCCTGGAAGAACCCTCCAAGCATTTAGGGTTTCGGGCAATGAGCCATAAGCCTTTCGCCCCTACGAACCCCAAACCCCAAACCCCAAACCCTAAACCCTAAACCCTAAACCCTAAGCCCTAAACCCCAAACTTTCTCCAAAACACCCCCGGACCCTAACTCCGAATCTTCCAAGCTCCTCTCTTCGAGCACCCTGTGCTTCGGGGATTGAAAGCCTCCTAAGGCCGAACATCTGGGAATTTCAGGGTTTCTGAGGTGTAAATTTAGGGTTTAGGGTTCAGGGTTCAGGGTTTAGGGTTTAGGGTTTAGGGCTTTCGGCTTTCGGGCTACAGGGTCCCCAAGCACCCCTCAAAGCAGCTCAGCCGCGTTTGGGGGAACGTCCAGGTCGGGCATCGCGCGGAGAAGTTCGAGCCTGGTGCTCTTGTTGAGGGTTTAGGGTTTAGGGTTTAGGGTTTAGGAAACCCTAAGCCCCACCCAAATCCTTGTTGAGTTTAGGGGCTTGGGGGGGGGGGGACCGTTTTTGTTGTGCAAGTAGCTGACCGCTGGGTTTGGGGTTCAGGGGTTTAGCGTCTAGGGCTTAGAAACGGCGATGCTCCTCAGAGACCTTAAAAATCTCATGGTTTAAAGGTGCCTCGAAGAAATGTTACGTCACTCGGGATCTCAGAAATCTCGCGAGGCACGCAAGCACTCAACATCTTAGCCTTCCAAACATACAGGGGCTCTTTTGGGGCGTGTGGCCTTTTCTAGGGCAGGGCTCTCAGGGATGCAGGGTCTGGGGGTTTAGGGTTTAGGGTTTAGGGTTTAGGGTTTAGGGTTTAGGGTTTGGGGTTTTGGTCATTCCTGAACCCAGTAAGCCCTGAACACTAAACCGACTTCTTGGACGAAGTGAAGCTGAAACTAGGCCTTTGGATGTGGTCTTATTCTCCCTCACTCCAGACAACATCTGAATGCTTGGACCCTAAACCCTAAACCCTAAACCCTAAACCCTAAACCCTAAACCCTAAATCCTAAACCCTAAACCCTAAACCCTAAACCCTAAACCCTAAAGCAGACCCTAAAGCCCGAAACTTCGTGGGCACAGGATGGGTGGAAAACCAGCCAAACAGTGCTGGAAGGACACCCTGAAGCCGAAAAAGGATTGGGGTTTAGGGTTTAGGGTTTAGGGTTTAGGGTTTAGGGTTTAGGGTTTAGGGTTTAGGGTTTAGGGTTTCGGGGTTTCGGGGTTTCGGGGTTTCGGGGTTTCGGGGTTTAGGACGTGGGTTTCCCTTGTTTGGGTCCTCTTATTTTGAGCAAAATTCCCCAAGCTACAACAGTGCGCAGCTGCATAGGCCTCTCTCAACCCTGCCAACGTAGCCCAGCAGAACCTCCAAGCACCACTGCCCGCCACGCGAAACGGGTTTAGGGCCTGAGCGCCTGATTGTTAGGGAATTTCTTGGGGATGTGTCCCCTATACGAACGGTCCGTAGTAGGGACGATAGTAGGGGGTACTAGAATCCCGGCTCAGGACTGTTAGTATAGAGGGGAACATCCCAAACCCTAAACCCTGAACCCTAACCCTAAACCCTAAAACCCGAAACCCTGGATTGAATTTACCACAAAGCAAAGCAGCGTGAAGTGCCAGTCGCTCTGCTTGGCGCCGGCCGAGAGCACGGCGGAACAGTGGAACGCATTCAGCTGAAGGCCCCGGTCCTCATTTGGGTTTAGGGTTTAGGGTTTAGCGTTTAGGGTTTAGGGTTTAGGGTTGAGGGGTCCCCACTTCACTGGCTGGTTCTCAGTAGGGAATGGCAATGAGGTACCTATTGAATCCCTTAAAGGGTATATAGAGGGCCTTCATTTGGGGCGGTGTAGGATTTTGGGTGTTTGCTACGGTGGCCAGCCCAGGAAGAGAGAGGTGACCACTACCAAGTTCTTCAACATCCCTATAGCATAGCGATCATGCGAACTGCCCCAACCACCCAAAAGCCCCTGTAAGGGAGTTCTTACAGTCCGATCTCTCTGAACAGACCCTCAGGCCTCCCCCCCCCCTCCTCCCCCTCCTCCCCCACCCCGCGAAACGCCCCACCATAATGGGCTCAGGCTTCTTTTTTCTTCTTAGAAGTGTTGCGCAAAACATTCTTGCCCTCGCTCTTGCGCGAATAGGTCCGAACGCACATAGGGCACCTTAAGGGTTTAGTCCGGGGGTGGGGGGGGGGGGGGTGGATTGGAATGAAATGAGCCCTAAACCCATCCTAAACCCAAAACCCTCGGCCCCAAACCACAGCAAAACCGCCCTGACCTTCAGCTCCCAGAGTGCGCTCAGCGCGAGCCTCCGCCAGGTCAGCTCGGGGGTTTGGGTTGGGTTTAGGGTTTCGGGTGTGGGTTTAGGGGTGGAGGCAGTCCTTTGGGATGCGTGGAGTCTCGGGCGCAGAAGATTTATAGGGTTTTGGGGCCTAATGAATCTAAGCAGTATGACTTAGAACCCACTTAAGGGCCCTTCCTGTATAAGAAACCTATAAACACATAAGCCCGGCAAGAACCCTATCCCAAAAAACCTTACAAACCCAGTGAGCCCTATAAACCCTATAAAAAAGATTAAGCCCTCAGCACCAAACCGAAACCCACAAATCCTTCCAGACCTCTAAATCCTAGTCCCTACACGGCCCACTTCTGGGCCCTACTTCCTAATCTCCAAAAAGCCCTGGAAGCTCTGAACCCTAAACCCCACTCTCCTCATCTTCAACAATCCCTGGAAGGGGGTCCTGGGGTCTTATAAGACTTATCGGGTTTTTTTGGGCTTTGGGGCTTAACTGCACGGTTGAGGTTTCGGGTTCAGAGCTTTTCCCCCCCGCCTTCATGGTCACTTCTCTAAATAGGGCCCCTTTTTTGGGAATCCTAAGTCGCAGAGGCCGCCTTACAATGGTAACCCCAAAAGAGACAAGAATTTGCAGAAGTGACCATATATCGAACGGTGAGAGAGGTGGCGGGGGGGGGGGGGGTTTGGGGTTAAACTGCCGTGTCAGCCCGAGTCTAACTGACTAGCAAACCAGGGAATGAAGAGATGGAACCACCTTAGGGGCTGAAAACCCTAAACCCTAAACCCTAAACCCTACTTGAAGGTTCATGGTACTTACTAACCAATTATAACTGTCCCTACTTATAATACCCCTAAAGGGCCTTATAGGGGTTATCCCACTTATAAGTAGGGTTCTAAGCCCAGTGATAATTGGTTAGTAAGTACCATGAACCTCCAAGTAACCCTAAACCCTAAACCCTAAACCCTAAACCCTAAACAGCCCAGGAAAGATGAACCTCTTATTTGTGGTAGGATTCGGTACAACCAAGAAGGTTGAAGGTTAACTACCCCGCCCCCTAAGCAGCTTCTGGGCCTTGGCTTGCTTAGGGCCCCAAAGTGCCTTGAATTTAGGAATGTGCCTTACATCATGGTAGGGATCCCTCTTGTGACTTTGAGGTATACTGCTTCCCCAATCCCTAAACCCTAAACCCTAAACCCTAAACCCCGCGCCTCAGCTCCTTGGCCGCAAGCGCTTCCAATGCCGCTGCAGCAGCGCGCGGCTCGTGTGGCACGGTGGACGACCTTCCGGGGATGGGGTGCTTAGGGTTTCGGGTTTTGGGTTTAGGGTGCCTCCAGGCAAGTTTAGGCAACTTAGGGCATGTAGGGGAACTGAGGGAATTTACGAGAACTTCGGGAATTTAGGGGAACTTAGGGAATTTAGGGAACTGAGGGAATTTAGGGGATCTTAGGGAATTTAGGGAACTTGGGGAATGTAGGGAATTTACGCGGAGTTTAGGGCTTGGAGAAAGCCCTTAAGCCTTATGACCCCCAAAGCGCGCCTTCAAACCCCATTGGCGCGTTCTCTAAGTTCTGGTCCCTTCTTGGGTACCCTATATAGAGGCCGCCTTGTAATACGAACCCCAAAAAAAGGGAACAACCATGTAGAGAAACGACCCATTGCAGTTGAGAGGTTGACACACCCAGGGTGCAAAGGTTGTCGAGCTTTGCAATACATTGCGGTCTTAGGGAGGTCCGGCTTGGGTTTAGGCTTTGGGCCTTTGGCTTTAGGCTTCTGAGGGTTGGTACTCAAGCTTCTCTGAACAGCTCAGACGACCCTAAAGGGTATAGTCCCGATGCCAAAGTAGCCCCGAAAGAAGCCCCAAAGAACCCCTTAGATCCCCTATGAGGGTCCCTCCTTTAGTCCCTTGAAACCTCATAAATTCTCAAATATTATTAACAGATGATCCTGATATATGTCAATCAGAAAATGGGGCTCCGACCAGAGGCGAACATCGTCCTGCATCGCTGCCAGGTGCGCGGGTGCAGGGTGTAGGGTTTAGGGTCAGAGTGCATAGGGTTTAGACTTCCGATTTGCAAACGGAAACCCTCAACCCTAAACCCTAAACCCTGAACGTGTATGGTGCAGTGTTGCACCCCTCCTCCTCCCCCCCACCCCCCCCGGCCCCCCTCCCTCACGTCTTGGGTCTTCGGGTTTTGGGACTCGGGCTCTGTCCAAGATGGGCCCCCGACGCCAAAGTCGGTACTTCACATACTTCAGGAGTGCTCACTTCAACCCCTGCTCCCAAACCCTGAACCCGTAACCCTAAACCCCGAAACCCTAAACTCATAAACCCTAAACCCCGTATTCTCTTTCAAGCGCAAAGCCGACTCTGTTGCACGTTCTTCGGTCTTCGGTGAAAGGGGGTGGGGGTCTGCACCGGGAGTGTGGGCGCATTTTTGTTTTGCAGGGTTGTAGGGCTTAGAGGTTTTAGGGTTTCGAGGCTCTGTTTTGAGAGGAGGGGGAGGGGTAAAAGTGGATAAATCCCTAAACCCTAAACCCTCAAACCAATCCGCATGCTGGATAACCTTCAGCCCAATCATGCTTAGGATTGGGGGGGTTAGGGTCAATATCCCAATAGCAATCCCACAGCCTCAGCCCGAAACCCTCTCAACCCACCTTCGGGACATCTGCATTCTTCGCAGTCGGCTGGGGGGTGGCCTGCCACAAGTGGGTCAAGTGATCTTAGGGTAGCTACAAGACCCCGTAGTATGGGTAAGGGACCATATTTACGGGACCATGTTACTACCTAGGATGGCCCCTAAAACCCTCTGAAAAAAGTATTCCTGAACATGATCCTCTTAAGTCCACAAGAATGGAGAATATGAAATGCCCCAAGAGCCTACCCGAGCTACCCTTAGAAGTGAGAAACACGTGGGGACCTTGCCCCTCCAACCGAGATGACTTCTGAAACGCTGGTGTTCTCAAATTGAAAGCCCGGGGAGGATAAGGAAACGACCACCCCCTCACCCCTCCCAAGCTCACGTCTCACAGGCCTCAGCTCCCAACCCCTAACCCCCCCCCAAGCTCCCCTAAGCCCCCCAAAAACTTAGTTGCTGAGTT